TAGTAGGACTTTGAATGAAACTGAGCCTACACAAAATGTATCAGTGATTAGAGTCCAGAGTTCAATACCTGGAGAATAGGTGTCTACAACATTGAAGTCACCATCACAAGTGATGCCATTCCAAATACTGAAATAACGTGGAGGCTGTACTACTGTTTTATTACCAAGCACTTCCATTGCATCACGGTTCCTGCATATTCGCAAGGAAGTGTGGGAAGCTTGCACTGCTGATGCCATGTTCACATTCTGTGGCTAAAGAAACTAAAATTTCAATTATTCAGAGTACTTCTGAACTTTAAATATATAAAATATATTTTTAATAATGGTGGGTGAGCAGACAGGGCTGTAAGTAGATCATGAATTTCTCATTACTAGAATCAGTAATGTAATTAAAGCAATCAAGGACATTTTTAATTTTTTATTAAAATGGACATCTAAGCCTCCTTGCAGAAATAACATCTTGATGACAATAACTTTTGACACTAGCAGCATTAGTTCCCAGAATAGTTTTCCATTTGTTTTAATATTGGTCTTTTCAACATGTGGTTGAGCAAAATGTGCAGTTTCCTTTCCAAAGGTAACTAAAAGATTGTTTTAAAAACCTATAAAAAACAGCATTCAGAAGTCTGTATTCCTCATGCAACAGTTAATTACAACACTGAATGTTAAACTGAGGCTGCACTACACAAGGTGTTAGTAACATCAATTGTAGCACAGGAATTACAGAACCTTCAACTCTTGCCAGCTGTGTGAATAAGTGATTAATGCAGTTTCTGAAATATGGAAATGCTGTTGGTGCAATTCACTTTTGGAAAATTCTTCTATTACTGTTTGGTTAACCAATCTCAAAAACAGCTTTGTCTAGATCAGAAATTTAAGCTTGGTTTGTTCAAGTCTTAGGTAAAATCTGGTGCACATGCAGATATATTCTAATATATATTTTAGTAGTGTTTTTTTGTCTGGACTCCAAAGTCTAATTTTATATACAGCTGGTTGCAGAATTATGCTGGTGAGGCTTGTAAATTATATCATCAGAATTGCTCAAATTAAAAGGATGTCACAAATATTCCGCTGGTGATTTGAATACTATGTTACCTTGTATTTTGTTAAAAATGTGCAATCTTTTCACCACATCAGTGTTTTAAATACTTTCTAGAACAAGCAAAACTCCTAGGGTGAAAAACTTTAGACAATTCTGAGTATGGGAGTCTTCAAAGTCTAGTCCTAAGTAGTACCACCACCAAAGAATGAATAAATGCCCTTTTCTATGTTGTCCTCAAATAATTTGCAAATTTTTCATTTCACTTAACAGCACAGGTTAGCATGAAAAATATCAAAAAGATGGCAGAACAGGGTGAATTCTGGAAGAGGAAACTGAAGAAGAAAATTGTTCTGGTCAGTATTGCCATTGAGTTCAATGTATGCAGGAGTGGGGTCTAAATTAGGTCAACACAATCCTCATTATAGAATTTTAAGCTATTTTGAAGAAGAAAACAGCTAGAACTACAGTTTGCCATCATCTGTTCTGTTATCGTATTCTTGGCACACTGGGATTTCGCTCAATACAGCTGTGTAACTCAGGGATGTGGATTTTCACCTTCTATGCATGCAAAGGCTGGCCAAGAGGCAGCACACTCAACCAAAACAGCAGATAGCCATTATCCTTCCCATTACTCTTCCCTCCCTCCCTCCCTGCCCTGCCTCTCACTGCAACACACTTTATTGTTTAGTTCCTGATCCTGCAATTTGTTGTGCTCACACAAAGCTCCACTTTGTGGAGGCCAATAAGGGGCCTGCCTGCACCGAAATCCTGAGAATGGGAGAAGGATTCCTCAGCAACATGATTATATCTCCTCAGTGTGGCTAGGGCTACAGCATCCAATGCACCTTCTTTCTCAGGAAATCTTTAGAGAGGAGCATGAAGACCCAGAAAACTATTTGCAAAGCAACTACTGCGGGGGTGTCTGGCCGCCATAAAAAGTACAAGAGACACTGATTTAGGCATCTCTCTCTCAAGGCCTGACTGTGCCTAGAACCTTAACTTCCACACTTACTGCATTGCACTGATGGTGGTAGCTTATCTCAGGGGTGGGCAAACTTTCTGGCCCGAGGGCCACATCTGGGTGGGGAAATTGCATGCGGGGCCATGAATGTAGGGCTAGGCCAGGAGGTTGGGGGCTCAGGGTAGGGGGTGCGGAGAGTGTGAGGGGGCTCAGGGCAGGGGGGTTGGGTGCAGGAGGGGTTGGGGGTGTGGGCTCCGACCCAACGCCGCTTGAGTGGCTCCGGGGTGGCAGAGGCGCACAGCGGGGCTAAGGCAGAAAGCTCTGCGCGCTGCCCTCGCCTGTGGGTACCTTCCCCAAAGCTCCCATTGGCCGCGGTTCTGCATTCGCTGCCAACAGGAGCTGCGGGGGACAGTGCCTGCAGGCAAGGGCAGCACACAGAGCCTATAGGGACGTGGTGCTGGCCGCTTCCAGCACAGCCACGGGGCTGGCAATCCCGCGGGCCAGATCCAAAGTCCTGATGCGGCCCGTAGTTTGCCCACCCCTGGGCTTATCTTCGCCTCACAAAGTGATACAGACAGAGAGCATGCATGTGTGGAGGAAGTTGTTAGAGACTCCCCATTTTTAACTAAAACGAAGGGAAGACTATTCCCCTCTAACAGAGGAAGCCTCCTTCTCAGAGATGGTGTAGACATATCTGGGGAAAGGAGTGTTGTTTAAAAACATTCTATCAAAACTTTTAAAATGCTAGACTCCTTAGAGTCAAGTTGAAAGTTTTGTTAATCACAGCCAACTAACATATTTTTGAATATGATTGTCCTTGCTCACATTTCAAAATCACATTTCACATCATGTTAGCTAAAATGTTCTCTCGCAATACATTTTACCAGTCTAGACATCATCAAAACCAATACAGTTTAAAAACAAATTAGTTAGTCTTGGTCTATCCTAGTGGGATCCACAGCCAGCTAGCATGTTCTTAAACACCATGGGTTTTGGCCAGAGCAAGTGCTAAGTAGCCTACACTGACACATGTAGCTAACACCACTCACTCTCCACTGGGGTCTACACAGGGCCAGGCAGTGGGGACGAAGAGATTGCGCCCCCCGCCCCCCATGGGGGAGAGAGAGAAGATGGCTACGCTCCGCGTTTCCAAGCGAGAGGATGGCAGGTGGCCCCCACCCCTCACCGAAGGGACGGCCCCGCCTCCCCCTCATAGGGCAGAGACTCTCCGCTCGGGGGGGGAGGGGAGGAATACACTGATGCACCCGCCAGTGCGAGACTCGCCCACCCCCGGCGCTGGGCAGCCCCCTCGTGGTCCTCGGCGGAGGGGGCGGGTTCTCCCCAGGATGGGGAGCGGGGTTTCCTCGCGCTCCCGGGGGAGGGGATTGCGTCTCCTCCGCAGGCGGGTGGCTGGGCGCCGATGGCGGCTTCTCTCCCCACCTATCCCCGGGACTCACCCTCCTTCCCTGAGGGGCAGGAGCCGCGTCCGGGGCACCGCCTCTGCCTCTCCTGCACACGCCAGCCGGGGATGGGAAAGGCCTGTCGCGCTCGCCGCCTCCGCCGGGCTTGGAGGCCTCTAGGCCGCGAACACACCGCACAGAGCCAGGCGCGCCGCCGTGCTGTGCTGGGGGTCACGTGAGCCGCCCCTTCCGCCAGCGTCCCGGCTTGCACCGCGCCGCCCGATCATAGAGGCAGCCTGGGAGTTCTGACAGAACGTCCGCGCTATACGCACAGAGACACAAAGCGCGTCTTACCATAGAGTGGTGAGGGCTAGAAGGGCGTAGGGGAAAAAGGGGCGTCTGGCGCCATCTTTGCTGGTGGCAGCCAGGAGCGGTAACCACTTGATTGACCCTTACTAGAATCGCCATCTTGAGGTCAAGTGGCCGCGGGCTGCTGGCGTCTCACCTGCCTAACACAAAAGCATCAAGGGGTTGGCTTCCCCCTCCTCTCATCGCGGCTCAGTACAGCCGCACCCCATCCTCAGCCCTGGCACCATCCTGCCTGCCAGGTGCCAGCATCGCCCCATTGCCCGAGGCCATGAGCCACCCAGGACGTACTGGTGTAACACACAGCAGCTACTGTTGGTGGGAGGGGGGCCCACAGGGCGACAAGGGCGCATACCGCTGGCTTCCCTGGCCCCTTGCCAACAGCGAAAGCGCATTAAATGGCATTTAAAAATACAAAACGCTGTTGTCCCCGATTACTTTCCCCTATAGGCAATTACTGTAGTTACCAGGAAGATACCATGACATTGCCAGTGGAAAGAGGAAGTACCTGTGAGTATGAAGGGGAGGAAAGAGATTGTCTTGTATAGACCATTAAAAGCTGGGCCACAGTAAGAGTAAGTTTGAGAATCTGTTTTACACAATAATTCAGCTCATGTTACATAAATCAAAAAAGGCATAACCTACCTCACTATTTCTTTTTAAAGCTTTCCTTGGATTATATGCACAATACATAAAGCACAAGTCTTTGCAGGATCATGGCCAAAAGATAGATGCATTGGTGGTATAGTGGTGAGAATAGCGGCTTTTGAAGCAGTTGCGCCAGGTTTGATTCCCAGCCAATACAGGGAGGCATTTTCTAACAAGCATCTACAGTGGTGCAACTGGTTAGTGCAGGGGGGAGTATTCCTGGGCTTGTGAGTTCAGGCCTCACCCAGAGCTTTAGTTTAAGTTGGAAATTAGAAAAAACTTCCTAACTGTCAGAGAGGTTAATCACTGCATACATTGAATATGGAGATTGTGGATCATTGAGAATTTTTAAGAGCAGGTTGGGCAAACACCTGTTGGGGTGGTTTAGAAAATACTTAGTCCTGCCTTGAGTGCAGGGGACTGGACTAGGTGATCTCTCAAGGTCCCTTCCAGTTCTATGATTCTATGGCCAATCCAGTCCACCCACTTTCAAGTCAAGGGGGGCAGTGTTCACAGCGAGTGTTGTATATACAACAGCTAGTGCCTCAAGTCAAAGAGAGCAGAGGGTGCTCACACTACAAATTTACAGCTGCTTTGTAGTGGTCAGTTTACTCAATGCTGCAATAGTGAGAAAGGAGGCTTCAAGACAATTTTCAGGAGAGTATGGGATAATACCTATAACACAGACAAGTAATGAAGAGAGCAATGCTTGGGGCAAAGTTGCTGTCCTATGAAGAAATCTATTTAATATATTTTGTTACAAATACAATGCTGGAGAAATTTGCAAGATGTTCTAGATGAACAATAGCCTTCACAGAGAGCCTGCCAGTTTTTGTTGGCCTGCCTTGTAGAGGCTGAGACAATATTTCAGTTGTGATAGCACATTTACTCCTTGTCTTCTGCTAACAAGATTGTCAATTGTGGCAGCAGGTTGGAACATTCAGCAATGAGATACCAAACTGAGTACACTAACTTGTTTCACACATACTCCTGAGCAGCCAGCAGGCCAGTGAAAACATCAGTCTAGCGCACCATTTCCCTTTAACCTGTTTCCATTAGATTTGTATAAATTATTAGCAAAGAGAATTATAGATTTTCATATGAACAGTTTTGGCAGTAGTACACTGTTTTATGAATACCTGACTCTTTTAGAAGTAACAGTTCTTTACTATAGGCTGTTAACTTAAATAGGATAATACATAGATTAACTACAGTTATTTCTCCATACAGTAGCTACAATTTATACTTCCCCCGTAACTAATAAAAAAGGCTACGTTTTAGTCACAGGTCACTCACTCACTCACTCATGCCAGTCACCCCAATCGGGGTATGGGCTGCCAACCACAAATCTCCAGAGTCCTCTATCCTGAGCCATTTGCTCTAGCTGGTTCCAGGTATAGCCCATTTTTATGCTATCAGCCTGACGGTCGCATCGCCAGGTGTTTCTTGGACAGCCTCTTTTCCGCTTGCCTTGGGGGTTCCACCACAATGCCTGTCTAATGATGTTGGTTGGCTGCTTGCGTAGTGTGTGTCCTATCCAGCCCCACCTTCTCCTTCTAATTTCTTCCTCTGCTGGAAGTTGACAGGTCCTCTCCAAGAGGTAGATGTTGCTGATGGTGTCTGGCCAGCGGATCTGGAGAATCCTTCTAAGGCAACTATTTATGAAGGTCTGGATCTTCCTGGTGGTTGTTTTAGTTGTTCTCCAGGTTTCAGCTCCATATAATAAGACTGATTTCATGTTGGAATTGAACAGTCTAATCTTTGTTGCCAAAGACAGCTCTCTGGAGCTCCAGATGTTCTTGAGCTGTAAGAAAGCTGCTCTTGCCTTACCGATCCTTGCTTTGATATCTGCGTCCGTGCCACCCTGTTGGTCGATGATGCTGCCTAGGTAGGTGAAGGACTGGACTTCTTCCAGAGGGCTTCCATTCAGTGTGACTGGGTCATTACTGATGGAGTTAATCTTGAGGATCTTGGTCTTGTCCTTGTGGATGTTGAGGCCAACCTGTGATGAGGTGGCTGCCACTATGTTAGTCTTCTCTTGCATCTGCTGTTTGCTATGCGAAAGGAGTGCAAGGTCATTCGCAAAGTCCAGGTCATCAAGCTGGGTCCACAGCGTCCACTGGATTCCGTTCCTGCGCTCATAAGTGGATGTCTTCATAATCCAATCAATGACAAGGAGAAAGAGAAATGGTGACAACACACATCCTTGTCTGACTCCGGTTCGCACCTGGAAGCTGTTTGTAAGCTGCCCTCCATGGATCACTCTACAGTGTATGCCGTCATATAAGTTCTTAATCAAGTTAACCACCTTTACTGGGATGCCATAGTGCCGAAGGAGCTTCCAGAGAGTCTCTCGATCCACGCTATCGAATGCTTTCTCATAGTCAACAAAGTTGATGTACAACGAGGAGTTCCATTCCACAGACTGCTCGACTATGATGCGGAGCGTTGCTATCTGGTACATGCATGATCTATTTTGCCGGAAACCTGCCTGCTCATCTCGTAGCTGTGGA